GTGTCTTCAAGCTGTGTGTTCCAGGAGGCCTTTTCAGCAGAACATAATGAAGTAGGATAGGGAAGACAAAAGAGTGGAGATAATCAGCTGGAGAAGGCCGTGCTCAGTCGGAGAGCACCGACTACAAGAGTACAGCAGGGTTCATCTCCAAAGGGAAAGTCAGCAAGACCTCAAGTTAGAGAAATTAATAGGAATATATCAAGAAGTCGTTTGAGAGCTGCTGAGAATGGTTTGGGACTCACTGGGGCAGATATGTTAGATCTTTTAAAAAATACGTGTATTTATTAGTTACCTGCTGGTGAAATCCATCACACTTGCAGATAAAAAACTGGGAATTTGCAGCAAGGAATTCATCTGCATTAAGACATTTTCTTCTCTGGAAACTAGTTAATATAACCCCAGCTGTGCCAAAATCTTTTAGTTTTTCTCATTCTGAAATCTCTTGTGGGGGAACTGGTTGAAGGCCAGGTTGAACTGGGCTTGGAATAACCTGGTCTGGTGGAAGGTGTCCCTGCCCATGGCAGGGGGATGGAACTGGATGAGTTTTAAGGTCCTCCCAATCCAAACCAGTCTGTGAGTCTATGATTCAATCATTTCTCATTTATTTAGGCTCAGAGGGGTTTTTGTGTAAGCTCTGCCTAATTCAAATAGGCAAACACAATGTGCAAATATTTTGCCACCTATGCACAGGTTCACCTGTGCAACAAGTGATTCCATCTTCCTAGTCCTTTTCAGGGAGGACAGGGATTTCCTTTACAATATTTCAATATGTAATCTATAATATTACGTTGAATTAATAACTGAATTATCATTTTTTGATCCTGTGGCTTTTAAGCAGATTGTAAACTTCAGCAAATTAAAGGTCGAGATTTTTCCTGCCTCAGCATTTATTTTTTTGGGCAGTCTGAGGTCAGCAAATTCCAAAGTCAAGAGCTGCTTTGTGCTTATAAATTATCCATTTCATTTTTCATACAATGAAGACAAAAGGGCTCGTTGCTGTTAGAGATGTCAGGCTTTTCTCGACTGGAAGTGTTTGGATTTATTTATTTCTTCATCTCAGAGGAAACAGGAGGTGATGACAATGTGGGGTTTTGTCTCCCAGGACACTCTCCTTTGTCCCCTCAGTGAAGATTTGAGTGCTCCTGTCATGGTTTGGAGGTGAAGCTGATGGAAGATGCTATAGGACTGTGGATTTTGGGGATCAGCTTTGTTTTCCCTTTGCTGGATTTTGAGATCAGCAAGGTCAAGTGCTGTAGTGAAATCCCTTGCTGCAAGGCATTTCCATGAGGTTTAGCTCTTTCCCTCCACTGGGGAGGTTGGCATCAGCTGGGAGAGCTGGGGGTGTTCACCTGGAGAGGGGAAGGCAACCTGCAGCAGTGGGAGATGTCCCTGCCCATGGCAGGGCTTAGAGCTTGGATGATCTTTAAGGCCTTTCCCACCCAAACCACTCTGGTTTTCCTTGTGTGTTCACATGATATAAAACCCTGTTACATTTCTATAACAGCTTCACTATTCTGTTTCACATGAGGGATGTTCAATCAACTTTTAAGGTGTCGCTAAAAAAAAGAATAAATTAAAGAAGAAGCTGCTCACTGTGGAAATGAATCTCCTAGCTTGTGCCCAGTGTCCCAGACTTTTTTGGGGAAAGGTGGGATATACCCTTGTAACTTGCCTAAATTAACCTTTACCAGATGAATTGGAAGGTAATTTAATTATTGTTTGGCAGATCCCAAGTGAGGGTCAAGCTTCAAACAACTTAAGTGAAAAATTGTCAGAAAATTAGTAGAATTTGCATGGAGTGTAAGGTCAGGAGGCCTTTTCATGTTCAAGGAGACTTTGGCTGAATCTTATTAGCATGCAATTTGTATAAAATTCATTTAAAGAGGTGATGTGCAGGTCAAGGAAGAAAAGTATCTCTTTTCTTTGTTCATACTCTCTCATGTTGGTTCTGTGCCACCTGATGTGAAATAAATTACTTTTGGCACATAGAGAAAATACCACCTTCTCTCCAGCATGTAAGGAATGGGTCTCTCAAAAGGCATTGCATCCCAGTGCCACAGAAACAAGGCAATGGGAGTTTAAAGGGAAAATCACCTTGACACAAGAAATTACTTAAAAGAAAATGGAAAAATGTCTGTTGTTCAGAACAGTGCCCATTTCCATTGTTTACTCTTTTCTTTTCAAGTTCAGAGCTACTATTTAATTTCTGGGGAGCCTGAAAGACTCACATATCTATTTCACTGTTTTAAAAACCCTGCAAAATGTATTTATTTCTCTGTAAAGATTTCATTCCTTTGTTCTGAAAAGATGATGATAATAACTTCGCTAACTTCCACCTAGACCCATGAAGAAAGAAGGGTGACATAACAAAACCACTACCCTAAAACCTCCATCTTGCCTTATACCTACTACTATATTCTAAAACCTTAAATTCTAAGTTTTCCACCATGTGATATTATACACTTCTATTCAAACTTCACACTCGTGATCCCAGTTCTGTCATTCCATTTTGGAAGCCTTCTCCATGGCCTCAGGTCAAAAACTCTGTTTTCTTGGGAGTCTGTGCCTGTCAGCACAGAAAGTCTAAAATTCTCATTTTCCAGGGATCCAACAGGGACACACTCACAGAATCACAGAACGGTTAAGGTTGGAAAAGCCCTCCAAGGTGGTGGAGTCCAACCATTCCCCAGCACTGCCAAGGCCACTGTGACCCATTGCCACCTCCCCTGTGGCTCTGTTTGCCCTTCAGGTCGGAGCAGTTCCCTCGTGTGATGGGAGCCTGTCCTGCACTTTCACAGGAGGATAAAACAGATGAACATGTAACCAGGTTACAGCCACCAAGTATCCCAAGACTGTTTGCTAGCAGCTTATTCCCATGGCATTCCTGCTGGAGTTTCTCCTTGCTGGAGTCTCTCAGAGCAACTGAGCATTGCTGTCTCAGGGATTAGGAAGCACTGGAAGCTCCTGCAATAGAGCAGCACTGGTGTTTGTCTGTTTATAATTAATTTTTAGTAGTCTTTTTGTTGGGTATTCATGGCCACAAGCAAACTCTGCAGGTTCTGGCGGTGCAGGAGGTTTAATTTTGCTAATCCTGTTTTATTCCCATTTCAGTGTAGCTGTTTCAATGCCACAACATGGTGCCTGCAATGAATTTCAAATGTATTTTCAGATGGCATTGTCTTGCAGAATGGGAGAGAAAATCATCCCTCCCAAATGCCGTTTGCAGGGGCTCTTTCCTGCTGTCTGGAAATCCCACCCTGCATACAAAGCAGGGAGGAAGCACAAACCTCTTCCTCACAAGCTCTCAAGCCCCCACCACGATTACAACCTTTTTATCTGGGATAAAAAGCATTTTCTTTCATCCTTTTCAATAAGAGTGTTTTGCTTTTACCATTTGGTACAACACCTTATGCAAGCCACACATATGCAGTCATTTTTTAATGATTTTTTTTCTACTCTTTACACACACAAGAGTACAAATGAAATGATGCTGGCATTGAAAAGGCATTTTAGAGAAGCAACTGTGATTCCAGCCCTGTCTGGGAGCAGGTCCAGCTGTCACTGGGAGGTTTTTGGGGAGGAACAATGGAAAGGTGAAGAGTTACCCTCACAAATTTTATTTCGTAAAATCAAAGAATGATTTGTTTGGAAGGCACCTTAAATCCCATCCATGGATAGGGACACCTTCCACTAGATCAGATGCTCCAAGCCCCAGCCTGGCCTTGGGCAGTTCCAGGGATCCAGGGATAGCCACAGCTCCTCTGGACAGCGTGCTCTTACACTGATTTTCTTAAAGATCTTCTTAATGCTCTGCTGTGTGTTAGTGAAGCCACTGATGGAATTCCGAGTCTCCCCATCTCTTCCCACGTGCCTCTAACCCTGATTTCCTTTGCTTTGAGAATGGCTCCTCCAGTGCTAACTTGGGGGTGGAGGGACAGCTAATTAATTAAGCACTAATTGTTGTCAAGTCAATCGGTGCTTACATTTAACGTTTGACTTGTTTACTCTCCAAGGTAAAGGGAAAGGAGTTAATGATCTAACAAATTGTGTCCCCATCATGAGGGGCTTGTTTGGAGAGAATGGTGTTATTTATGAACTGTAAAATAACACATTTTAACAAAACCCTCAGATTTTGAAGCAAGATGGGTTTGATTCTGGCATGAAATTACCACTAGATAGCTGTGGAGACAAATGCGTCGCCTAATAAAGCTTAATGACTGATTTTCCCATTAATCAGAATTGAGAATGTGCTTCATTAAGATAATTAACTGAGCCAGTTGCTTAACTGACAGTTAGGAGACACAAATTCCCAAGTTACTTGCTTTCCTTTTAATAAAATCCACAAGAAGCTGACCTGGCTTCATCTCCTTTATTGGAGGGAGGAGCAAGAGGGCTGTTGAAATCTCCTTGTTCACGTAAGCTCTGTGACAGAGCCTCCCTGTGGGACACTGGTGGGATGAAGAGGTGGCCCTGCCCAACCAAACCCCACACAGGATCCAAGCCTTGGCCTCCAGGTTTTCACAGTCAGCTCACACTGAAAGCTCACCAAGACTTGCCAGCGGCAAATAGTTTTTTTATCTGCTGCTTTCGGAAAGGTCAGGTCTTGGGCTGGCTTGGTTTTATCACCCAAGAACTGCTCATTCTTCCAAAGGGAAGAAATCCTTTTCCTGGCTTTGTGGCTCCCCCTCTTTGTTCATCATGAGCTGGAAGTGGGGTCATGAGTGCTGAGCCCCCCTGGAGCAGGGATGTGGAAGATGAATCTGCTCCGGGTACATTTGTAGGCGGAATACACGGTGCTGGAGAAGTTGTGGGAATTAACAGAGAGATCCAAAACTTGAATTATTAAATATACTATCTGGTTGTAATGTCTGGTTGTAAATCCCTTCCTTCACAGCTGTCTGTGTCTGGAATTCTAACAGGGTGATGCTATCAGGACTCTGCACAGACAGCAGAGCCAATGTAAGGCAACCATCTCAACTCTGCTTTTCTTTTGTCCTCAGAGTTCCCGGTCTTCCACCATGAATCCTGTTTACAGCCCCGTCCAACCTGGGGCTCCCTATGGAAACCCGAAGAACATGGCCTATACAGGTAGGACAGGGCTTGTGGCTTTTCCTGCATGTCTGTGTGTGGTGGTGGATAATCCCTTAATGAGGGAGAAAGATTTCCCCTCAGGGAGCTGGATGGGAACGTGACTCGCAGGAAAAAGAGAAGAGTTGGAGCTGAATTCATGCAAAGAGGATGCCCTGGAAATCCTAAGGAAAAGGATCCAAAGGGGTTTTCTTTAGATTAACAAACATGAAAGCAGGTGCTGGGACAGTCAGCAGGAGGGCTCCACTCTGGAGCTGCACTGAGCCACAGGGATGCACGTGCTGGAATAATCCAGCTGTGGAAATGAGAATCCCACAGCCAAGAGCCCCTTGCTTGGAGAACATCCAGGTATTGTGATAGGGGGTCACTTCAGCTACATTATTGACTGATTTTTTTTTTTATTTCAAATTGTGCTTTGCTTAAGTTAATTTTATGTCTGATGTCTGTTTGAAACCTTCTTTAGAACTGAGTTGTCTAAAAATGTCATCCTTAATACTCGAAAAAGGCTGGCCTTGAAAGATGTTTACAAGAATTTTGTAACTAGTGAGGAGCTAAAGTGTACTGATATGGGAAAAATTCATCTGGGAGAGAAATGATGCTTTGGAAGAAGAAAATCCCAGTTGAGGTGTGTCTGGTTTTCCCTGTGGATTATGTTCATCTTTACTTGCTCTAATCTTGTAACCCCCTTACAAAATCAGCCCTGGAAAACTCCTTTTTATACCATTTTGAGGAATGTAATCAGCTATTGGGTGTCATGTTGTGTTAGCTTTTCCTGCTTTCTATTTGCATTTCCAGTTGGATGTGTTGACTTTCACTTAATGTGTGGAATTATTTGGGAATGTGCTTTTGTGGAGGAGAATGGTCACCAGCAAATGGGAACGAACATCAAATACTCTCAGACACTTTGTGCATGGAATATTCTGGTTGAGTTTGGCAGCTCTTCCAGCTGGTGGATCAGTGGGGCTGTGAGGAGCCCTGTCTGAGACTCTGCAGAGCAGAGAGTTCCTCAAAGGCGTTTTGCCTCATTTTTATTCATCCTTTCTTTTTCCCATTCCAATTTATGCAGCTGCTTTGTTGGAGATACTGTAGCTTGGGGGGAACTTTGGTCTCACAGTCAAAGCACGAGAGGCTTGAAAAAAAAAAAACAACCAATCTCTGTGAAAAAAGTCTCTTCAAAAATCTCCCCATTGTGAGAGGACTGTGGGCTCCAGCAGTGCTTGGGTGATAGAACGAGCTCATAAGTGCACAGTTATTTTCCTACTCTGGAAATAACAGGAATTTTGTGGCTTACCAGCACAAGAGGCTACTTCTCCCTGCCTTTACTTTGATTTTTTTTTTTTTTTTGGCATGTGCTTAAAGCTCCACCTTAATATCCATTCAATGTACATTTCTGTATCTGCTTTCATACAATCCTGGGTGTCTTTGAATCTGTTTTCTGGCACTTGAAAAGACAGTTTAATTATTGAGGGGCAGATAGGTCAGAATTTGGACCTTGACCTTTCTAGAAGAATTTTAGAGGGGGAATTCTGCTTTAGATGAAGGGATTAATGGAATTCCAGAATGGTTTAGGTGGGAAGGGACCTTAAAGCTCATCTGATTCCACTTTCTGCAATGGGCAAGGACTCCTTTCATAGACCAGGCTGCTCCAAGCCCCATCCAACCTGGTCTTGAACACATGAATTCTGCAGGGCTCCATTTGGAATTAGTCAAATGCCAACGTTAATGGGATGTTGTCTTCTAAAATAACCCGCTGGTTGATAACTGTGTAAAATTTGACTTGGCCAACTTGTGCCAGCTCTGATCCATGCAGAGATCAGGAGGAGGTGACCCCCAGAGACTGATTTAATCCCAAACCATCCTTCAGGCATTTGTCTTCCAGAATTTGTGGTAAATGCACAGAAATCAGGGGTGGATGTGCACGATAATCTTGGAGGAAAAAGTTGGAGGCAGGTCAGCCTGGAAAAATTAAAATAAGGTCCTCGGTTATGTCAATGGTAAAACAAAGAAACAAATGTAGGACAGCACAGTAGGAATATTCCAACTTTATTGTTCCATTGTCCAGGTGGAAGGTAAGGAGTCAGTGGGCTGAACTCTTACAGTGAAGTCTCAAAATAGAAGTCTAAAATCATTTAACAGCAGAGCTTTTTTTTTTTTCCTCTGGGCAAATAGTATTACAAACTCTTTTAAATCTGAATTTGTTTGAATATGTAATGAAAGACCCAAAGTTCTGTAAAAGATGAGCAGGAGAAAATTTAAATTTTGTCCTCTGTTGAGAAAAGACAGGCAGCTCCTAAGGGTGGTCTGAGTAGCTATGAAAAGAGCTGTGGAGTAAAACTCAGGTGGGATAGAGGCAGAAAGAAAGCAGTTTGAATTCTGTGCTTTTGTGGGGTTTTTTTATGCTAAATGTGAATGCTTTATGCTACTTAATATTTTGTTTATTATTTTTATTTATATGATAACTTTAGGCTGAAATAATGAGTTTTAATCTGATTTTCTTCTCATGCTGGCTTCTGTGTTGTTTTCTGGCAGAGTAGGGAGAGAGGTCCTTTGCAAGATAAATAATCCAGGTTTTTTTCTGCCAGATTGGCTGTTAGGGAAAATAGGAAATCCTTGAGTTAGGGAGAATGGGAAATCCTTGGCACATACTCAAGTACTTGATGAACCATCCGTTTATTCAGATTCTTGATATTTCCATTTTGATCTTCCTTAACGGAAGGAAGTGAGGGACAGTTATTTCCTAAATAATTTTTTTAAGTGTGGTCTGGATTAGCTGGATTTTTATGGGAAATAATAATTAAGTTTAAAAAAGGAAGTTTTAAAATACAGTTACTTGGTGAGATAAAATCAGAATTGTTCAACTGATAGGAGAAATGTTTATGAAAACAATCTCAAAGGGATTTATTAAGCACTGGTGGCTTCTCCTGTGTCTGATTTTTGGGGTCCTTAGAGCTCCCAGGTCTGAATTGCAGCCTCCTTGCTGCTTTTCAATGGAAACTGGAAGAGGAGGGGAATAAATTCTGCTGGCAGTGTTTGCTGCTGCTCAGCTGAGGGAAGGTGACACAGGGAGAATATTCTGGCTTTAGGCAGAGCTACATCTGCCCAATGCCAGCTTTGTGCTCCAAGCCCTGGCTCCTCATGCCCGGCTGGTGACAGCTTCCACTCCGCTAATTCCAGGGATTTTGGAACATCAGCAGCAGCGCTTCAGTGTTGTTTACTATTTAATTAAACCAGACTGTAATTAAGTTGGATCTTCATGTAAGCTGTTGTTTTAATTGAGGCTAATTTTAAAATGCATTTAAGGCCTCCAATTTGCTTTTTTATTCTTGGTAGAATTCACTTTACCTGCCCTAGATGGGAGTTGCTGAAGCACCTGGTTTTCCTTTGGCATTCCTTCCCATTGCCTTGCATCCACTGCAGGAAGGCACCGGTGCTGCAGTAAATAGATCAGCCCATTGGTGTGGAATCAGGGGTGAAGAATCAGTCTCTCCTGGAGCTTGTTTGACTTCAAGCGTGAAACTCTAAAGTGTTTGTGATAGCTCACACCGTTCTCCCTCTCCCTGATTAATATGCTGATAAGATGCTGTGATTCATGAACCTCTGCTAGGCTGACTCTGTGTTCAGCAGAGTTATTCCTAAATAATAAATGGTAATAAAATCCGAGAGCAGGTTGGGAAATCTCCGAGGGGTTTGTGTCACGGCATTTCTCAGGTCATGCTGCTGCAGCGCCTGCTCAGGAGAGATGCTCACACAATCCTGGAATGGTTTCTGGAAGAGACCTGGAAGAATGTCTCATTCCAATCCACAGCCTTGGGCAGGGACTCCTTCCACTGTCCCAGGTTGCTCCAAGCCCCAGTGTCCAACCAACAGTGGACACTTCCAGGGATCCAGGGACAGCCACAGCTGCTCTTCCCTGCCCACCCTTGCAGGGAATAATTCCTTCCTAATTTCCCATCCATCCCTGTCCTCTGGCAGTGGAAGCCATTCCCTGTGTCCTCTCCTTCCATTCCTTGTTCTCAGTCCCTCTCCAGCTCTCCTGGAGCCCCTTTAGGCCCTGGCAGGGCTCTGAGCTCTCCCTGGAGCCTTCTCCTCTCCAATATTCCCAACTCTCCCATCCTGGCTCCAGAGCCAAGAGGCTTTCCCTGCATAAGACCCCTTCATGCTCCTGAAGAGCAAGACACATCCCTCAGTTGGGCTGTTCACAGCACTCCCAAGTTAAAAATTCCCAAGTTTTGTCATTTTTTTTTTTCTTGCCCAAGGTGAAACCACAACATTTGTTTGGACATAATGATGAACAGAGGGAATCTGTGCCCTCCAGCCACTGGTTTTGTTGGCAGGACAGGAGGTGAAGGATTCTCACGTGTGTTCCTGTCCTAATCCCTGTCATTTGTATTCATTGTTGAACCTCAGACACAACAGCACATGTGAGGAGTGACCTCATTTACTCCTGACTGTTCCCTTAATTTATTGTGATGTTGAAAGTCAGTGGCCTTCGATGTTGTAGAAGACAGAAGGATGTTCTGATAGGATTTCTACTGTCGGCTTTTAATCCTCCTTTGCATACTCTCTGTGGGACACAGATAATTCTAGGCGTGATTTCAGCCTTCCTTATTAACTTACAATTATCATTTGCCTGTATTATTCTCTGGAAATGCTGGGCCTTTGATCAGCTCTTTGGCCAGACGAACCAAGTTCTTTCACAACTGCTCTGTGAAAGGGGATGCATTTTATTTTTTTTTTCTCTTTCTTTTTGGCATTCCTCAGCATTTTTGTGGGGAACACTGAGGAACATGAGCAAATGGTAGGGTTGAGGTGCTCTGTCCTTACTTCTCCTGCTGCTCTAAGATGTGCATGCACGTCAGCCCCTTCCATTGATTGGGAAATGCCACTCCTGGATTTAATTAGGCAATCCATCGCTTACCGGGTCTGTAAAACAGGAATTCTAAACCGTGTTCAGGGTGTTGAATTGATTTCAGGGTGATTAAAAATGTATGAAGTGGATA